AGGCAGGAGACTCGCTTGAGCCCAGGAGTTGGAGGTTGCTGTGAGCTGTGATGCCACGGCACTCTACCCAGGGGGAAAGCTTGAGGCTCTGTCTCAAAAAAAAGAAAGAAAAAAAAGAAAATCAGTGAAGATACAGAAGAATTCAATGATACTATAAAATAGTAGGATCTAATTAATATTTTTAGAACTCTCCACCCAACACCAGCAGAATATATATTGCATACACATGGAACATTTACCAAGGTAAATCATATTCTTGGTAATAAAATAATTTTAAAGATTTAAAATAACGTACTCTGGACATAATGGAATCGAATTAGAATTTAATACTAGATGAGAGTTGAAATAATTGAGGGGAGTTTTATCTTAAATGAAAACCTTAACTTTCTACTCTTGATTCTGAATTGTTATTGGCTAGGAACATAGGAAAATAGATATATTTCATGTGCCAAAATGATAATGATATTATATATTTAATTATTACGCATTATAAATTGTCTCTCCATTCACTTTATTTTACAGCCTCTCTGTTAAAAGGACTAAAACATGCTAACATAGTGCTACTTCATGACATCATTCATACCAAGGAGACGCTGACACTCGTGTTTGAATATGTGGTAAGTAAAATAAAGCCTTTAAATTCAAACTTTTAAAATAATGAATGGAATTTCTTTTAATGTTATAGATTAACTATAACTATCATACTTCTGTTTTTAGATTGCTGTGTTGAGGTAGATAATTTATCTGAATATATGAGACTTGTAATTTTGCATAAAATAGTGACTTTAGAAGTCATTTCTGAATGAAATATATTTTAAAACAAAAATACAAGAAAATGTTAAGTTGGATTTTCATCAGATATATTATTTATTCATATTATTTACTACAATATACTATAATTTTTAGCTTTATCAAGTAGAATTAAATAGCGTGGTGATGATCACTATCAAAGAAAATTCATAAACAATAAAAATATTTTTTCTTTGGACTTGTAACTTGGTTTCTCAAAAGCATCCTTATTAGATTGCTTGTTTTTTTATTTTGGTTTTTTTTTTTTTTTTTTGATGGTGGAGGAAAGCCTGATACTTACAATTTAGACTGACTTAAAACTTTTCCCCTTCGGTTGGTATTTCACCTATTAATTAAAACTTCCAATTTGCATAGCACACAATGTAATGATCTTATTGTGTTGAGAGTATTACTGCTGGAAGACTTGGACTTGAACTCATAATTAATCTTTCTTCATTTCTCTTAGAGAAAAACATATGGTATTTGTGTAGTGCCACTTCAGCATTTAACTATGGAATCATGAAATGTAACCATGATAATTAACATCCCAATTTTCACAGATGGATCTGAGAACATGTAATTTATAGGATAGAAATGACATTAGTGCAGAGTTTTATTGAGCAGAATAGCTGTTGGCATTGTGAATGTATTAACATCCTGTTTTAAAATTGCTATACTACTTCTTAAAAAAATTTGAAGTAGTTACCATTTTTTCTTAAAAATATAAAAGAATGAATATTTGCAACATTTTATTTTACTAATGTCTGCCTGTGTCTGTTTGTCATTTGAAAATTGTCTCATGAAGAAGCTATTCATCTTGTCTATTTACATATAAATGATAGATACATTTGAATAATATGGTAATGTGGCTACAAGGACAGCTAGAGCTGAGCAGTTGCATATATTACATGCTAGCAAGAATGGATACAGATTCACACATCAATGCAAATATAATTTCTTTTGTTTAATTCATCATTTTGGAGTCAATAATGTATTCAGTTGATTTAGACTTTGGACTTATTCATATTTTCAAGTATGTCTAGTTGACATATTTCAATGAAATACAGATTTTCCTTACTATACTTGACTAACTTTTGTAATTTTTTTAGGATAGAGATTTTAAAAATGACTTACTCCCTTCTCAAACTGGATAATTAAATTAAAAGGAAAACAAATAGTTTGGGCATCAAAAGCAGTGACGTGATAGAGAAACTAACAAAAGAAAAGGTGAAAATACGTTTCTAAATCTTAAAAAAAAAATAAAGAAAGAAATATACCCACAAGGCTTAAAATATGCATTGGATTAAATGTCATTTAATGATTTCATATTTTGTGGAATTGCCAAAATATGAAAAGAAATTGTCTGTCCTGCAGTATTTGCTGATAAGACTGACTCATACATAATCAGTTTATTTATGTGAGTGAAATTTTCCCTGGTCCCAATTCTTGTGGTGACATCCTGAGTCCTCTTCAGTCAGCCTAGTAATAGCATGGACACCTGTGGTTCCTGCAAGGGACATTTCATTCCTGACTTCTCTGTGGAGTGAAGGCATGAGGTCGATTGCCTTCTTCTCATTCTGAGAATGAGGCACGCTGTGTCGTCCATGGCTTCGGATTGCCCACCTCATCTTCTGTTGTCCTCTGCACCTTTATGGCCTCCGTTTCCCATTGTTCTTTGGCTTTTTCCTTTTCCACTTTCCTATCTTTTTCTATTTTCATCAGTTTCTGTGATTTTGCTATCGTGCTGCTATACTTGAACTTTGTTTTGTTTTTGTTTAAGTAAAAGATTTTTTAATGAATCTCTGAAATCAGCATTTGAGGAAAAGAAGACCTTCAGGCTGTAGAAATTTCTTAAGAGAGTCTTCTCAGTTTGGGTAGGAAAGATGTAGATTTCTTAGAAGGATTATCCTGACGAGGTGGCAATTTCCCATTATGAAAATAACTTCCCTGACTATTGCCTAAAGTTTTTATTTTCTTACGCTGCCTTCTAATTGCATATTCTTTATAAATATGCTAAAATTTCAAGAAAATGAAGGTTCTTACATGCTGTCATGAATTAATCATATTGCTTTCCTCATAGTATCTGGCAGAAATAAACTCCACTCTATTCTGTCATGTTTTGTAGCAATAGAAAGGCGATAATAATTTTAAAGGGTGAAATACTTTGGGCGTTAGAGCATATTCAAGGTAAGAAACAGAAGGACACTGTGGGCTTGGGATGAATCAGTGAGGGGTGCAGAAAGGGAGGTGAAAGAGTTTAAGGCAAGTATGATCCCAATAATAAAAACCAACAACTAAACTTTATGGACTTTTATATTTGTAAGCTAGAGTCCAAGTTGAAGTTGAGTCCTGCACGCAGATTGTGTGCCATATACTGCTACATTGTATCTATTAGATGGGAGCTTACCAAGTCCTCTACTCTCCCCCTTCTTGATGTAATTGTGTTTTTCTCTTGTGTGGGCCTATAGTTGTTCACATACTAGTTTCAACATAGTATTAAGTACATGGGATGCTTACTTTTCCATTCTTGAGAAACTTTACTTAGAAGAATGTTTTCCAAATCTATCTAGGTAAATACAAAAGATGCAATGTCTCCATCTTTTTTTTTTTTTGAGACAGTCTCACTTTGTCACCCTCCGTAGAGCGCTGTGGTGTCACAGCTCACAACAACCTCCAACTCTTGGGCTCAAGCAATTCTCTTGCCTCAGCCTCCCAAGTAGGGAGGATTCTCTTTGAGGATTCTCCATGCTTCTTCACAAAGGGGGTGTATTAGTTTGCAGTTTCAGCAATAGCGTACAAGTATTCTCAGGTCTCTGCACCCATCCAGCATCTATAGCTTTGGCACCTTGTGGGCTATTCTCATTGGGGTTAGGTGGTATCTTAAAGCGGTTTTGATTTGCATTTCTCTGATGATTAGGGATGATGAGCATTATTCTGTGTGTTTGTTGGCATTTGTCTGTCCTCTAACAATGTGGACTTTGCAGTTCCATGTAATTCATAGTACTCCTTTTTGAGCTAGGGGACATTATAAATAGTGTAAGAAAATCAATAACTCTATACTCATTTGAGATTGGTTGGTTGCTGTTAGATTTATCCTTTTGGCTTCACAATTAGTTAAGTTTTCCAGGGCTTTTTGTGGTATCTATGTAATTTGAATTTCACCAAGCAAAGGATTCTTATTTATGGTAATACACATGCAGTGTATTTCTGTTTCTTGCTAAGCCTGCCTTGTTTATATTATTCCCAGGTTTTATAAAAGCCATATGAGGGCCAGAATAATAAGTAAGGAAAATTTGGTGATGTGAAAGAATACTCAAGAAGATTATTTTAGAAGTCATTATTACTAAAGTGATTCAGTGGGTGGTGTGCTATTGTTTGGTAGGTTCTCTTCTTAAGTACTATGAAAAGTTCCTGCAATGTTCTGGAATTTGGATTCTGTTAACTTACAAAGTATGTAGATACAGTGATCTGGAAGCTGCAAGACTGAGAACCCCTTATGGTTGCTAATGTTATGCTCAGTAACACATGGACCCCTGCATAGCTTGGGGAACCTCCTCCCCTTAGTTGTGAAGGAACATCTTTAACCAAGAAGTGGCTCAATTAGCTTGAAAAGGACTCAGGTCTGGGGGAAGGACACAATTAGAAGAGGGACTTTACCCAACAAATGCAAACAGTGTAAGTTAATTCTTTGTACCCTCAATTAACCTGAAAGAGTTAAAAATAAATAAATAAAGTAAAATATTGTTATAGCTATCGTGTTTCCTGTATAAGTTTAAGACTTTGAAGAGAAACACAGAAAACAGTTAAGAATCATTAACTCCAGATTATATTCAGTTGTGACAGTTCTAATAAATTTTTTCTACTTAAACAGAAAATTAGTTTTTATATATTTCTTTTTGTGAAAGAATAAATAAGTGCTACATTATCCTGTTTAATACCATGCTGAATAATTTAAAATAGATTGCATAGGTAGAAATAAAAATACTAGTAGTAAATATGATTGTGTAAATATATGCTGCTCTTAAGTTCGTAACTGTTCTATTATAAATTACAGAAGAGTGAAGCATATTTGCAACATTTTACTGCATACTTAATAATTACATACAAGTTCTAGATATCTGTTGTACAATATTGTGCCTATGGTTAATAATACAGTGTTGTGTACTTAAAACTTTCTTTGGAGAGTGGATCTTTCTTATGTGTTCTTTCCACCAGAAATATAAAAGCAAAGCTCCCTAAGGCGACTTGTGGAGTTGATGGATGTGTTTATTACCTTGATTGTCTTGATTGTGGTAATGGAATTTCGGGTATATGCATATGTTCAGACTCATCTAATTGTATATATTAAATATATGCAGTCATTTGTATACCAATTATACCTCAGTTAAGCTTTAAAAACAAAAGCAAAAGCAGCAAACTCAAAGCTAATCATGATTGTTAGGAGCAATCTTTTTTTTCTTCCTGTGTGCTGTAAACTAGAGCAATGTTCCAGACGAATGTATAAAATTACATAAAACAAAAAATCTTGTATTTAACATGAAAAAAAAACTGTGTTAACAAAAACCATAAATCCCACAGAATGCCTTTATTATGGTGTATGTTCTACGGAGCACTTTCATAGATGCTGTTCCATTAGTTTCTGCCCTTTGAAGTAGGTAGGGCACATAATGTTATCCAGTACTGCATTGATGAGGAAAAATGATGCTTAGATAATTTAAAACAGATTTGCTAAAATCAGTCAGATGCATTAAAAGGGTAAAGATAATACTTTGGGCTCAAGTCTTCCCTGCCTAATAATGCCTGCCATCCCATTTTATCCTGGAACTCA